GCAGTCACACTTGTGTACTTGTATGGAGATTGTAAGCAGTCACACTTGTGTACTTGTATGGAGATTGTAAGCACTCACACTTGTGTATTTGTATGAAGATTGTAATCAGTCACACTTGTGTATTTGTATTGAGATTGTAAGCAGTCACACTTGTGTATTTGTATCGAGATTGTAAGCAGTCACACTTGTGTATTTGTTCGGAGATTGTAAGCAGTCACACTTGTGCATTTGTATGGAGATTGTAAGCAGTCACACTTGTGCATTTGTATGGAGATTGTAAGCACTCACACTTGTGTATTTGTATGGAGATTGTAAGCAGTCACACTTGTGTATTTGTATGGAGATTGTAAGCAGTCACACTTGTGTATTTGTTCGGAGATTGTAAGCAGTCACACTTGTGTATTTGTATGGAGATTGTAAGCAGTCACACTTGTGCATTTGTATGGAGATTGTAAGCACTCACACTTGTGTCTGTATGGAGATTGTAAGCAGTCTCACTTGTGTATTTGTATGGAGATTGTAAGCAGTCACACTTGTGTATTTGTATCAAGATTGTAAGCAGTCACACTTGTGCAATTGTTCGGAGATTGTAAGCAGTCACACTTGTGCATTTGTATGGAGATTGTAAGCAGTCACACTTGTGCATTTGTATGGAGATTGTAAGCAGTCACACTTGTGTATTTGTATGAAGATTGTAAGCAGTCACACTTGTGTATTTGTATGGAGATTGTAAGCAGTCACACTTGTGTAATTGTATGGAGATTGTAAGCAGTTACACTTGTGTATTTGTATGGAGATTGTAAGCACTCATACTTGTGTATTTGTATGGAGATTGTAAGCAGTCACACTTGTGTATTTGTATGGAGATTGTAAGCACTCACACTTGTGCATTTGTATGGAGATTGTAAGCAGTCACACTTGTGTACTTGTATGGAGATTGTAAGCAGTCACACTTGTGTACTTGTATGGAGATTGTAAGCAGTCACACTTGTGTATTTGTATGGAGATTGTAAGCAGTCACACTTGTGTATTTGTATGGAGATTGAAAACAGTCACACTTGTGTACTTGTATGGAGATTGTAAGCACTCACACTTGTGTCTGTATGGAGATTGTAAGCAGTCACACTTGTGTCTGTATGGAGATTGTAAGCAGTCACACTTGTGTATTTGTATGGAGATTGTAAGCAGTCACACTTGTGTATTTGTATGGAGATTGAAAGCAGTCAC